TCAACAATTAGCTACTGAGGAAGTTAAGGTTCCACAACGTTCTCTCGCAAAGGAAAGGATGGTGTGGAAGAGAAAAGAGAGTCAAGAGGTTGCTGTCCAGAATGAATCTCAGCCAAAGGTGCCACCTCTTAAGCTCACCTTATTGATTGTTAATGAAAATGAGTTGAAGGCAACCTTTGAAGCAGATCAGCAAGCAGAGTTGACTAGCGATGATAATTTTCTTGAGGACATGGATGTTCTGCAGATTGGTAGCATCTCTATTAATCTCTCTTGTTTGGTTCTCACGCTTCCTTTGGTTTTTCAAGCCAAGGGCAGCGAGACTACCCATGTTTCCAATGGCAGCATGCTTGTTGAGGAAGAAGTGATAAAGGTTCTAGCCCAAGAAGAGGAAGAGGAGCACGATATCCTTTTAGAACAAATTATCTTTAACAAACCAGATGAAAGTGTGGCTCGTCATATAAAGCTACTCTACATTTCAGCTCACATGGATGGAGTTCCAATGAATCGAGTCCTTGTTGACAATGGAGCAGCAGTCAACGTCATACCTTCTTTTATGCTAAGGACTTTGGGTAAAAATTCTGAGGACTTGGTTTATACTGACGTAACCATCAATGATTTCACAAGTGGTGTTAGCAAATCAAAAGGAGTGCTACCGGTTGCACTTACTGTCGGCAGCAAGACATCAATGAGTGCTTTCTTTGTTGTAGACTCTTTTGCAACTTATAATGCATTACTGGGACATGATTGGATCCATTCGAATTGTTGTGTTCCATATATTCTCCATCAAAGACTCATTTTTTGGAATGGAGGCAAAACTGAGGTGGTTTATGCTGACAACAGACCATTCTTAGCCAATTCCAATATGGTGGAAGCATGGTACTATGATAAAGACGTAGGAACCAGCCGTTTCTTCGGCATGGATAGACAAGGAAGACCTCGTGGAATCACTGCTTGCAACAAGCCTACTTTGGCTAAGTATGTGGTTGACGAGGTATGCAATGAACTATTGCGGCCTATTGCCATTATTCCATATAGGCCGCAAGAGGAGCCCAAAATTGAGGAGTTATTATGAAGAAATCCAGGATAAACAAATAAAGAAGGGAGGTCGTATCTGAAATTCTAAAGAAATTAGCGACCTATTTTGCTGAAAGAAATACAGAAGCAAATCTGTCGGAGGTGGTACATGAAGGTGAGGAGGACACCCATACCGACGGAGTCACAATGGAAGAGCTAGATCTGGCCCCTGTAAAGTTGGATGACCTCAGGGCCGATGTACAAGATCCATTGAAGGAAGTTAATCTGGGAACAGAGGCAGAGCCATGCATTACTTTTGTCAGTGGTTTGCTACCGCCAGAGATGCGAGATAACATAATTTGTTTACTACATGAATTCAAAGATTGCTTTGCTTGGGATTATTCTGAGATGCCAGGTTTAGACCGAGAGTTGGTAGAACATAGACTACCAATCAACAAAGGATATAAGCCGTACAAACAGCTGCCACGCCGTATGTCTCCAAAAGTGATTTTGAAGGTGAAGGAAGAAGTGGAGCGGCTGCATAAAGTTGGTTTTATACGGATAGCCAGATACTCAGAATGGTTGTCTAATATTGTTCCAGTAGTGAAGAAGAATGGAAAGCTCAGAGTCTGCATTGATTTTTGGAACTTAAATCTAGTCACACCGAAGGATGAATACCCCATGCCAGTAGCAGATTTACTTGTTGATGGGGTTGCACGCCATCGCATTTTATCTTTTATGGATGGGCATAGTGGCTATAATTAGATCTTTATTGCAGAGGAAGATATAAGTAAAACGACGTTTCGTTGCCCTGGAAACATACGTAAGTATGAATGGGTCATGATGCCGTTTGGGTTGAAAAATGCAGGAGCTACATATCAGCGGGCCATGAATGCAATTTTCCATGATATGATTGGCCGCTTCATGGAGATTTATATTGATGATGTTGTTGTTAAATCCATGGAGGATGAAGAACATTTGGAGCATTTGAGGAAAGCTTTTGAAAGAATGCGACAGCATGGTTTGAAGATGAATCCTCTCAAGTGTGCTTTTGGTGTTACGGCAGGGAATTTTTTGGGTTTTCTGGTTCATGAACGAGGCTTGGAGGTGAACAAAAACAAAGCAAGGGCCGTAATTGAAGCGCGGCCACCACAAAATAAAAAGGAATTACAAAGGTTTCTTGGTCAAGTTAATTTCCTAATGAGGTTTACCTTTAATTTGGCGGGCAAAACTCGTGTCTTTTCACCTCTTTTGAAGTTGCAGCCTGATGCAAATTTTAAATGGGAGAGGCAACACCAAGTCGCCTTTGATGCCATTAAGGAATACTTGTCCAAGCCACCTGTGTTAGTTCCTCCAGTTAAGAATAAACCCTTATTGCTGTATATATCCGCCGCAGATGAGTCAATTGGCTGTCTGCTGGCACAAGAGAATAATAATAAACAAGAAAAAGTTGTTTATTATTTGAATAGAGCTTTGAATCCGACCGAAGTGAAATATTCTTCGGTTGAGAAATTGTGTTTGGCTTTGTTCTTTGCAACAATAAAATTGAGGCACTATTTATTGTATTCGAAGGTGTTTGTTGTTTCAAAAATTGATGTCATAAAGTACATGCTGTCGGGGCCACTCTTAAGAGGCCGCATTGGTAAGTGGATTCTTGCACTTACTGAATTTAATCTGAGATATTTGCCTCAAAAGGCCATCAAAAGACAGGCTTTAGCAGACTTTTTAGCAGATCATCCTTATTTAGATGTTAATGCTGACGAAGACAAGGGAATCAATCTCTTTTCAATTGACTTGGTTCCTTGGAGGCTTATTTTTGATGGGTCTAGCACTGATCAAGCCTCCGGAGCTGGAATTATTATTGTTTCTCCAGATGGCATAAAAACCCAATGGTGTTTTCAGTTGGATTTTGAATGCACTAATAACCAAGCAGAATATGAAGCTTTGGTAATTGGCCTTGAGTTGTTGGTAGAGTTGAAGGTGCCATCGGTTGAAATTATGGGTGATTCTCAATTAGTTCTCAAGCAATTGAGTGGCGAATACAAGTGTAC